AAAACCTCTTGGTTTAACCCAGCTTGCATATCTAGATTTTGTGGAAGGCACAGATACTGCTCTTTATATTGTTTGGTAGAGGGGGGAAGATGCTTGATATGAGCCCACTTTTCCTAGACATGAACACATGACAGTCAGGGAGAAAAAAAGTACTCGTGAAAGAAACCAAAAAGTTACTGCTGCCAGCAATCAGTTCACCTTTTCCTACGCATTTAGTTCACCAAATTCAAGTATATTCTGCCCTTCTGGAGTTGAAATTAGGTGAAACAGAATACTGGAAGTGAACTTCACACAGCTAACAGGAGTAAAGCAAACTTCAGTCTGAGATGGAAATGGCCCCTTATTGAATATCCACACAAGGAAGCAGAGCTGCTGGACTGCTTTGTCAGCAGCCTCAGAATGGGAAGAGCTCAGTGAAGTACAGATAAAAGACAGCAAAATTATCAGTATTAATAGTTGTCACTTAAATGACATTTTTAACCAGAACTCACTGCTCTGAAAACTGATAAATTTGAAGACAGGAAGATTCACAAAGTTTAACATTTGTTGCTGTCTTACATTTTGGGGGCTTTCTTTGTGGAGAAGGTATCATGAATGAAATGATGCAATGTTTCTGCTGGTGGATGTTGTGCATTGTGTTTTTCTTGGTGCATCCTGCAGGATTACTACAAGACTGGAGTGATACGCTGTCCTGATGGGATATCTATTCCTGAATTGAGAGAAGCATGTGACTATCTCTGTATCTCCTTTGAGTATAGTACTATTAAATGCAGAGATCTGAGTAAGTACAGAGTTTATTAAAATAATTTTAGTTATACATATTGACTTAAGTGCGTGTGTGTTAATTCTAAATCATGTCCTTTATTGAGATAAAGAAGATGGCTGGCACTACATGAATAAAATCCATCCCTTTTATCTCTTATGTAATAAAGCCCTAAAACCAATGGATTTATGTTCTTTGAAAAATAATGTCTGATATTTCAGCATCTAATTCTGTGCCATGGTCACCCTGTGGGATACTTAGCTCTGTGATTGCATTTGCAGTACAGATACAGTAACATTCAGTGGTACTTTTTTTGCAGAGGACAGGGAGGATAATTTTTCAGCTCCTTGCTTAGGAGAACGGGGCTGTCTCCCTGGTGGCAGTAGCACAGCTTTGCTGCTAGAGTGGGTGCTCCAGGATTCCCAGCACGTGCTGTTCTCTCCAGCTCCTTCACCCTGAGCACAGCCCAAGCCTTGGCCTGTGCCTCCCTGTGTGCAGTGCAGGGCCAGCCTGTGGCATTCCTGCTGGGAATGCTGTGCAGGACCCCAGTGCCTTCCCTGGCAGTGCCACCCACCCTGCCCCATGCCCGAGCTCTCTGTCCTTACAGGGATTTAGCAGCGCCTGCCCTGGGGGCTTTGAGAAGCTTTGGTTTTAAGCTGCTGCTTATGAAGAGTGGGTTGTGTGCTCTGCTCTCCCAGCAACTGGCCTAAATGAAGTTTCTTTTAGGAATACCAAGAGCAGCCTTGCACAATTACCAAATATTTAGCAGTAGTGGAATGCACAGGAGGTCTCAAAGTCTGCCCAACACTATGTTAATATCTGCAGGACAGGCTGGTAAATATTCAAACGAGGTCTGAAGCTACATAAGCTCATAGGCTGTCTTTGCACCTGTCTGCAGTAATACTACAAGATGAATAGATCTACTCTTTCTTACTGCTGCCTTCATCTCTTTACCAAGCCCTCAAATGTGCCTATGCTTCAAATTTTCTTCTAGGTGCTCTCATGCATGAATTGTCAAATGATGGTGCTCGCAAGCAATTTGAGTTTTACTTGGAAGAAATGATTCTGCCATTAATGGTAGCCAGTGCCCAAAGTGGGGAGAGGGAGTGCCACATTGTTGTGCTGACAGATGATGATGTCGTTGACTGGGATGAAGAGTATCCCCCACAAATGGGAGAGGAATATTCACAAAGTAAGTTTATCCTCATTGTTCTCACCAAGCTGTGCTGTGGTAGAGGTAGCAGTGAATGTGCTGATTTAAAGTGGTACAGAAATGAACCTCTTTTAGTTCTGCTTAATATTTTGTTTCACAGAAGCATATGTTGCTTGTTATCTTCAGATGTAATTAAAAAGAGAAGTTAATTTTTACTAAAAAAGGTATTGTTAACCAGTGAGGAGGAAGAAAATACTTCTTCAGAAAGAGCTTGAGGAGGGAAATGGGTAGGAGTCATGTTTACTGTGGGAGAACAACTAGAAGTTTTTTTGAGGAAAAACGAAATGTTACTATTTTTTGAGTATTACAGTTGTGTGGATGATGAGTTTAAGCACCTGTAAATGGACTGTACTTCCCTGCTAGATGTGCACCCAATCCATTCCCCAGTATCTTCAGCTGCTTTTCTCTAGAGTTCTTTAATTTCTCCCCCTCTTCTGAAAGCAAAACAGTGGAAAAGATAACCTTTTGTGTTTTAAGGCTAGAAGGTTAATATTTGAATACAGGGATTTTTTTCTCATTAAAATGTATTTTTAGTTATTTACAGCACAAAGTTGTATAGATTCTTCAAATACATTGAAAATAGAGACGTGGCCAAATCAGTTCTGAAGGAAAGGGGGCTCAAGAAGATCCGCCTGGGCATCGAAGGTAAGGGAAGCATTGCTTGTGCTCTCCCTCGTTGGCCTTCAGGCTCTGCTGCGCTTCTCTGCTGCATGGCTTTCTCTGTAGCTGGAAAAGCTCGGGCTCAGTGTTGTCTTTCCTGCTGAGGCTGGTGACAGAATGGCCAGAGGGGGAATGGTACCAGCTGGAAACCTGACTGGGCTCCAGACTGGTGTCCAAGCTGTGGGCTCTGTGCAGACAGCTCAGGTGCTTTCTACTGCCTTCATGACCTGCATCTCACGCCCTTTGCCCTTTAGTTTGCACAAAATCTTCTCTGTGCTTTGTACAAATGCTTTGTTACTTCAGACAGCTTTGGGTATAGTGTTCTTGGGCTGTATTCTTTTCAGGGTGCAAAATGAAAAATGTCATGTTAAGTGTCAGGCAGACATTTTCTTTCAGGAAGTACAAAACTATCCAGTGGATCAGTGAAATGAAAAGAAATACTGATTTGAAATAAACATCATGTAAGTTAGGAGGCTGCTCTGTAATATTTGGCTGAGTAATCTGATTTTAACATGAATGTAAGAACTGGATTTCTTTGCATTACATTTTTCTTCTAATTGCTGACCCAGATATTTTAGAATCCAGCCTTTATAATTAGCAGGATTTCTATCATTCACTTAGCAAGTTGTCATAGTTACGTTTGTAATTTGCCAAGAAAAAGCAAATGCTTTTGAGTGCTGAGCCCTAAAATAACTGATTTCAGCTGAACAAGGTGGGAGCCTTTTAGCTAAACAAGAACTGGCCCTGCCTGTAATGCTGGCTAATAGCAGATTATTTCTGCTGGCATTTCTTGGTTTGACAAGGAACAGCTGTGGCACCAAACTGTGGTGCTGGTGCCCTGCACTAATGTGTAAAATGGACATTATTGTTGGGGCACGGGGAGAGGTGACTTGAACACAGCACAACCATGTGCACTGGCAGTGCCAGTGGGGCTGTGCTGTGTCCCTGCAGTGCTGATGGGGCTGTGCTCTGCGGGGCTGTGCTCTGTAGGGCTGTGCTCTGTGCAGTCAGTGCTGATGTTGCCGTGCTCCTGCCTTTGCCAGGTTACCCCACGTACAAGGAGAAGGTGAAGAAGCGGCCGGGCGGGAGGCCGGAGGTGATCTACAACTACGTGCAGAGGCCGTTCATCCGCATGTCCTGGGAGAAGGAGGAGGGGAAGAGCCGGCACGTTGACTTCCAGTGTGTGAAGAGCAAATCCATCACCAACCTGGCGGCGGCAGCAGCGGACATCCCGCAGGACCAGCTGGTGGTGATGCACCCCACGCCGCAGGTGGACGAGCTGGACATCCTGCCCATGCACCCCGCCGCCAGCAGCGGCGAGCTGGAGGCCGAGGGCCAGAATCCCCCGCTCTGACGGCGCTGCCCCACCGCAAGCATGCTCCTGCAGTGGCTGCGCCCGGCTCATGCACACTGCAGCGCCAGCTTCCCCATTGTGTCCCGGTGTTTAGGATGTTGCAGCAGGGACCTGGCACGGCCCCAGGGGATGCCCGGCCGCGCCGGGAGGAGCCAGCCCCGGCGCTGGGCTCGGTGCCGTTCGTGTCTGTGTTTACCAGTAGGTTTGTGACGTTGGTGACTCGTGAGCTGGCCCGGCCCCGCTCCGCGGCCCCGGGAAGCAGAGTGGGAATTGATAGTAGCACTTTACAAATGGTTGAGAAATGGAATTTGAAGCCATTTTTTATAAATGTATTGCACAATACTAACAAAGTGCTTCTATCAAAGGTATTAACTGTACATAGTTTTGCTCTGAATAGATTGACCCTTTTAAAGTTATTGTATATGGTTGAGCACAAAACTACTTACTCTTGGGTTTTTGGATTGAGGACGTGATTCAATGACCCATGTAACATCTTGTTCAAGTTCTTTAGTGAATTTTTTCACTTGTTTGCAGCGTGAGCCATGTTCAAAAATTGTGAACAACGGACAGGGGCTTTATCTTAAATTTTGCCTTAAGCTGTTCACAAATATTTATTTAATACATTTTTCATAAGTGTCATGAAATAGGAAAATGCAAATGGTTCATTCTTCATTTATTAATGATTGTAAACAAGTTTTTCATGCAAATAAAGTTTCCATTATTTTAATGGGCTTGAATTATCTGTGAATTATGAATTTTGCCAGTACTTGCTTTTGTTTCCTCAGGGGAAGGATTAATATTAAGTGAAAAATATGTGTTTCTTAAAGATAATCAGCCTATGTCAATGCACCTGCCTGTTGTGCTTTTCTCAGGATCAGCCTGGATGTAGGAATAAGTAACAATAGCTTCTCTGGGAATATTGCCATGACAAAGTCATCTAAGTGTAGGTAAGGCACTGGCTTTCCTCCTTTTTCCCCCAAGGCTAAAGAAATGATAAATAGCAAGTGCTTCTAGCATGCACCTTCAGCAGGGTTTTATCAAATTTATTTATCAAAGTAAATGCTCCATCTTAGAACAAGGGAAACATTTATTTTAAAAATATTTAACTGTCTAATACATTACACTTTAACAATATTTATAGTAAAGGATTCTTACAAGAAAGAATAAACAGCTTTATGGTACAATTAGTATAAGAAATATCCACATGGGGACTGTTTTGCAGTGTAAAAACACACCATACATCTGAAATGGTCATTTGCATATAAAAGCTACCACTGATGCCAGTGAGTTGCACAGTGATTTAAAAAAAAATTTCAAACAACAGAATCCAAAATATACAAGTATTGCAAGCTATACACAGCTAACCAAATCAACACAGAACACTGTAGCAGGTTATTCCACTTTGTCTGAAGTTACACATGGTAGGATGAGTTGCATTCTGACACAGCTTTTATGAAGTTCCCACATAAAAGCCTCTCAGTCCCACGAGTTTCCCAGAGGGCAGAGCTGCCCAGTAAAGCACTTGGCTGTGGGCTGCTGGCCGTGGCTGGCTCACAGGGGCCAGGGCAGGTCGCTGAAGTCCACGGGGCCGCCGAGCCCCGCGTCGGCCTCCAGCAGGCTCATGATGACCGCCATGGCCGCCTCGTCGTTGCTGGGGCTGCTGGAGCCCTGCTCCGTGTCGATCATGTCCATGCCGATGTGGGAGTTCTCCCCTGCAGGGAACAGCACGGCCAGCGCCTCAGGGGGTGCCTCAGGGGGCTGCTCCCCTCCCTGGGGGCACAGCCAGGCCCTGGGAGCTGGGCACGCCCCAGCAAGGGCCACCACGCTCACAGGGCCAGCCTGAGTGCCAGAGTGCACACACAACACTGCAGCAGCAGCGTCTGGAGAGCTGCTGAGCCCTTCACACTGACTCAGGAAAAGAGGCTTCCAAGCACTGCCTAAGGAAATGCCAGTAGGAAGGAACTTTACAGAACTGCCAGGTGCCTCTTTGGGCACACAGAGTGTGTGGCACTGGGCTTTATGCCTCAGCTGCAGCCTGCAGATGGCAACAGCAAATTACTGCTAAAACCAACCAGTGTCCATGTGTGTTCATGTGTGACTTCACTTACCCAGGATAGAGGAGTTGTCGGAATACGGGTACCCAGAATTATCCTGGACTTGCCCAGACAGCAGCCCAGCTGAAGAAATGTCTGGAGTGCCACCATTCAAGATCTTGAAAGACAAAACAGAAGCTCTAAAGCAGCATGAAATGGTGCATTAAGTCTTAAACTGTCCTATAATGAAATTTTTAATATAGGGTAGATGGACTTCCCAAAATAACCCTTTGGTTTATAACAATCTTCTAAGCAAGGAGAAATATCAAGGGGGTGCTGAAAACACCCAACCCTCCACCTGCATTTTCCTTTATGCCATGCCAGCAGCCCCTATTCTGTGACCTGTTGAACACTGTAGGGCAGAAGAAGAAAGAATAACTATTACCAGAATTGTAACTCTGTTCCAACCTGGCCTTTTATTTCAAGAACAAAGAGAGCTGGGAATAGACAGAAATATTTACTGTCTGTTCCAGTACAAGCAAGTCATCATTTCTCAGAAAAAAAGGTTAAGTAAGTCTGAAGCAGTGCATAAGGATCTGGGTAAGTGTTCTTGCTTTGGATAAAACTTCCATAAGCATTCAGAGATTGCTGGAAGCAGCCAGGACAAGAGTTCAGGTGGCTCAGTGCTGGTAATGGCACCTGAGTGCTACTCGAGCAATCTCAGAGCCAGGCAGGTGCATGGAGTTGACTTAGAAATAACCCTGAGTGCCCGTGCCCCCGGCTGTGCTGGTTTGTGCTCAGGAACACCCTGGCACAGCCAGGGCTGCAGTGCCAGCACTGCCAGCCTTCACCAGCACGGGGTGTCAGAGAGTTTCTGGAGAGTGGAGACACGAGGAGAGCTGTTCCTTGCAGCTCTGCTGCAAACATCCAGCCTAAAGGGCAGGTGAGTGTCAAACACTGCTGGAGTCTGGGCTGTGCTGCTGGCTGCCTTCAGGCAGTGCTGTACAGGGTGAGCACCTCAGTGCTTTGGCTGGGCCCCTTTTCCAGCCCAGCAGGCAGGAGCTGTTCCCTGAGCACAGTCCCACATCCCCTCCCAGCCAGGGGAAGCTCCTTCTTACCTTCTTCCCTCCTGGCGAGGATGTGTCGGGTGGGGGGGTGCTGGTGATGTTCAGGGGACTTGAGCCACAGCTGGAAGGTGATGATCCCCTTATCCTGAAACATGCATAAAACAGGGCATGCATTTACAAGCCACTCAGAGACTTGGAGTTTTAAATACTGACTTCAGTATCAGGTGCCATAAGATGCCAAAAGCTGGAGCTTCATTTTTGTAATCTCCCTTTTGCAGTGTTCCTCACACCAGCAGCAGCAGCAATGCTGTTATTTGCAGCCAGACCAACAGGCCTGTGTAAATCCAGCCTGCTTGATCTGCAAGCTTTACTTCCTCCCTGTTTTTTTTTCCTGGACAGCCTTCACAGAGTCAGAAGGAAAAGGTCCTAACTGCTAAGGAAAGCCTCATTTTTGAGTACTTTACTTCAATTTGCACCAGCTAAGAGTTCCAGCTGCCTCAGTCACACGAACCCTCAGCTCACAGACTCCTCCAGTGAGCTCCTGCTACAGAAGGCCACTGGACACTGGATTGTTTGTAACTGCTCAAAGCCACATTGTTCACTTCCATTTTCCATAGCCTGATCAAACATCATTAATAATGAATAATGTATTGACTGTAGCACCAACCAATCTCCAGACCAAAGGGAGGAGGGGTAGTTACAGAGAAAAGCAATGGAAATGGGATTCTTCTCCTTGGCAGAGTTCCCCTGGGAAAGCTGAACAGAAGGCAGCTTTGGAAAATAGTAACAGCTGCTCAGAAAGGACTGGAACTAACCCAGGGTCCGAACTGAAATGCAGACACGGGTGGTAACTGCACTACTACACTCACTTGGGCTAATTAAATGTTTTACAGCTACTAAAAGGGATGGTTAAGCTTCAAAGTAATGATTCAGCCATGTTTTTCTTCTTTTCCTCTTTCCCCTTTTCCATATTCCTACAGAGAGGAATGAAGCCTTAGGGATAGATCTGCTGCTGCCTGAAGTGAGGACAGAGGGAGTCTCCTGCCTGCAGCAGGAACAAAACTGTGGGAAACAGACTGAATGTGCTCCTGGACTGCAGCTCAGTCTGGTTAAACTGCTCCTGAACATCTGCTGGGTGAGACCCCTTTTATAGGAAAGGGAACACAGTTCCCAGGAGGAAATCAGCGAGGAAAGGGATTTTCAGCCAACAGAAATGAAGTGGTACCCACTGAAAGTAGCTGCTCCCACAGGTGAGAACACGAGAAGCAGCTGTGGATGCCCACAGTCCCTTAGGGACCCTGTGCCTGACCCAGCCCCACATCCTGACTGCCATGGCCAGGCCGCAGCATTGTGTCCTTGCTCCAAGAGCTGCAGGGGAACTGCAAAGCTCCTCATGCACATCTAACAACCCCAAAAGCATCTGAGCAAACGGGCTGCACGAAAACAAACACTGCTGTTTTGGCACACAATCAACAGCTCTGGCATTTGGAGGTTGTGCCACTCACAGCCTCAAGTCACTGGGAAAAGAACAGTCTGGAATGGATTTGTTTCCAGGTAGCTGCTCTTTTTAACTCCTGTTTCTGGTAAACAGGCCACCATCCTCACCACTGCAAAGAAATGCCAGTATCAGTCTCTTGCAGCAGGAAGCTGCAAGGCTGTAACTGCATGCTTTCCCTGTGGGGGCTGACTGCCTCAGGGAGGCTGAACAGCAATCTGGAGCTGTCTCAGTACAGTTGGATCATTCCTTATTCAGCTTGAATAAATTGTTCTTTCAGAGGAAATTAAGGAAGTCTAACTCCTCTTAAAGAACAGGAATAAAACAATATAACTTCACACCATTTTCTCTCACCTGTGAATCTCCATGATTTCTTCAGCAATCATCCTCCCTATTTTACCTGCCCCAGCTCTTGTTCCACCTGGAATTCCAGGCACAGTGGGATGGGTCCTTTTGGGGCCACCTGAAATGAGCAGAAATTTTAAGGTCAGAGAAAAGCTTGCACACCTTCTCCACAGAGCACCTGTGTTTAGGCTTTGAGTGGCCGCAGAACCTGAACAGGATTTATTGACAGTTCCACCAACTGCTGAGTGCCCTCAAATGGATGAGACCTCTGGCTTGCACTGAGCTGTGCTGGGTCTCAGATGTCCCTCTGTGCCAGCAGGGACAGGACAGTCCCCAACTCTTTTAGAATCTGGCTGTTCTCTTTCAGCACTGAGCATCTGGTGCTTGTCCAGATCTGGTACAGCACGGCCTTGTCAGACCTGCCCCACTCTGTGCCCAAACAGGCTCTTCTCCAAACATGTTTGTTCTCTGCTTTGTGGGAAGAACTTGCCAGTGCATATTCCACTCAATATGAGATAAACCCAAGGCAGCTGCTGACTGCAAAGGAAGCCCCTGCAGGTAACTGCAGGAATCTAAAAGTGAAGGGGAAAGTGAGGTCTGAGCAGTTAGGAGCTGTTGCTGTAATGGGATTTCACACGTGCACAGCACTTGGGAGGTTGGAAAGAACACCTCCACTTGGGAGGAGCACTTGGAAAGAGCCTGATATACTCCAAGCAGAGAAAAGCGCCCCCTGAGAGGGCAGGAAAGGCCTCAGCATTGCTTATGCAGGATGGATAATGCATCTGGAAATGCATATTTAACAACAGCAACCCTCAGCAGGCGTGGCTCAGACCCAAAGCTAAACCTCATTTTCCTCAGGATAGTAACAAATCTCAGTGCAGAAGGGCAGCAAATGTGTGCAGACAGGATGAGCTGCTCCCAGGGCAGGAGAGCCAGTGATTCCTGAGCCCAGGAGTTACCTTCTCCAGCCTGGAGCACGCTGTCCATGCTGTGTGGGGACGCTGCCAGCTGGGGAAAGGCCGCGTCCCCGCTGTCCAGGACCGTGGTGCTGTGGAGTGCAAGGATGAGAAAAATCAGGCAGAGAAAACCCCACAGGTGGAAAACCCTAGCAGTGATTGAAACCCAGGTCGTGCAGCCAGAGTTTCAGCATGGAATGCTTCAGGGTTTCAGCAGTGTCACCTCTGTGACTGACACCAGGGCTGGATAAATAACAGAAATCCACCACCCTGCTCCACCTCAAAGTGTGCAGTGCAGCACCCAACAGCTTCTCAGCACAGAACTCCTCTACAGCAACTATTCTGCTGAGAAGTCACCTCAAGAGAAAGGAAAAATGGGGGAAATACCTGCCAAAGCAAAGAAATACATGCCCCTTATGCTCCTACAAAGACCAAATCCCAGCTTTTCCCAAAGAAAGAAAATAGTTCTATTTTCTGCAAGCTTTAACAACCAGAAATTAAATTACTGCAATTTTTAAACTAAACCCCTTCTCCCTGGGGTGATGTCTGGAGAAGACACCTACTGTCATACATATTTAGGTCAATTCTGACATGAGAAAAGGGCAAAGCAATGGGCATTCCCAGGCACCTGCTGAGGGAAAAGCACTTACGAAACGACTGTGTTTGTGGAGACAATGTATTCTACTTCTTTGGTCCAAGGGTTCATGAAACTGAACCAGCGACTCCGCAACGTAATAAAAGAGCCATCTTTTATTTTAAACTTGTAGCAGTTAGTTGTAATTTTTTCTCTTGTCTGCAAAACTGAAGACAGGTAGAAAGCAAGTCATCAGTGTCAAGCAGGCACCACAACATAAACACAGCCTTATCAGGGAAAACCCTGTTTATTCCTCCCCACATCCCTCAAGAAAAATGCTATTCCTCCCTCATCCCCCACAACCAGCCTGAACCTCAAATATTCCCTACAAATCCATGCAAGTCTAAGATAATCACAGTGTTTGGCACATACAGCACAATGCTCTTGACTAAAGCATTCACAAACAGCAATACCCAAATCTTTCCAAGTCTGCTTGGTTTCCTTAAAACACAACTGTTCCCAATATTTTGAACAAAATTTCTTTCCTGAATTATTAAGAACCATACCTTGTCTGTGACATTCTGCGAGATGTGCTATATCATCTTGATGAAAATATTCATAACACGAAGTACCTAGAAGTTCCTGGGGTAAGTATGCCAGGATGGCTGTTGCCCTGGGGAAGGGAGGGAGAGGAAGAAAATTTAAAAAAAAAAAAAAATCTTTTCAAGTTGAAGTATTAGAGAGAGATTCCTAAAGCTCACACTGAGCTGGGTAAGGCTCAAGTAATGCGGAAAGGAATTTTCGGCTTAGAAGGTAAAAAAAAATTCCTTAAGAACACTATTTTTAATTCTCAGGTAATTAAAAAAGTACCTAACACCCAGAGCCCTCAGGTATTACATTTGACCTACCATCACCAGAGGGGATGTAAGACTTTCTAAATAGCTTTGAAGATTTGCTGTAATTTTGGGAATTTAAGGCTGAAAAAAGCTGCCTCGTAGCAGCCACAAGACAACAGGAAGCTTTTGCACAAAGTGCCACTGCACAACAGACATCAAAGGTTTGGAGAACTCAAGAGTGGGACAGAACAAGACCACACCAAACTTAACTTGGATTTGGTACATTTCTTAGAAGAAAATTCTTGGACTTCTTAGAAGAATTTTCTTAGAAAAAAATTCAGTGTTTCTTAGAAGAAAATTACTGAGGGAGAAGTGACGGTTCATTGAAGAAGCTGAAATAAGTGTCACAATTCCAAACCATTCCAATTCAAATTAAACATGAAGGGCAATAAGGAACAAACCCAGGTAGATCAGCATCTTTTCTGCAATCTCAAAAAAGCCCAAATTAAACACTCTAAAATGCAGAAATTAGTAGATATTAATAATTATGAATACAAAGAGAAGGAAAAAAGCTGAAGCACAAAATGCATGGTATTTCACTGTGGGGCATTTTTGTATGTTCCCAAACACAAGAGATTTCAGCACCAGCTGAGGACATCTCAAGCCTTCCTTGACAGGGAGACCAATGCCCTCAGCCTTGGGAAAGGAAACAAGAATTCAAACTGACTTTTGTAGGGTGAACTTTATGCCAGGCCACTTAAAACTCCAAAAAAACTCATCAAAGCAATCTCTAAGAGAACCACAAAGCAGCAAAACCAAGCCTATCTTTAAAATGGAAGAGCTGGGAACCCAGTCAAGCTGATTCCAGTATTTTTCCAAGGACTTTAGTAACCAAGGCTTTTAGCAGCACTGCTGTGGGATACCCCACATAGATGAGGAACAACCAGCATGAGCAGCTACAGGTAATTTGTCAACCCTTTTATTTTTACAGCAGGTGCTGTGGAAAGGAGAATCTGCAGCTAATTACAGACACCAACAGACTGGGTGCATTCAATATCTGACCATGGTCTATTATGCAAGGAATGAAATTGTTTGTGTCCTCCTGGAATTTCATCCTGTATTTACTTTTTCCTCAGCTCGCTTCTCCGACTTAACAAGGCAGCTCTGAATCCTGAAGCTGTATCTGATGACATCTGCATAGATAATAAACTTAATTTTACTCTCAAATTCAGTACACAGGCCAATTAGAAGTCCTGAATAAGTAAGAGGAGAGATGATTCTCTCTAAAACTCTGCTCAGTGTAGCTGCCATTCCAACAGAGAATTGTTAAGCAGCTCCCTGGCTGTGGCAGCCCAGCTAATTGGTACCTAATCCATTGCTGTGCTTCTCCAGGGACCATGAAATCCATGAAGACAGAAAAGGTCACAGGGAGTTTAGGAAGTGTTTCTTTCCTGAGTTCCTTGGACAGATGATAAATGAACAGTGCAAGTCTATATGAACAAAACAACCTGACTTGGAAATAAATTGTTTTCAACTTTTACAGGTGCTTATATATTCTCCAGGAAAAGCAAGGAGCATTGGATGTCAGCTTCAGGCCCACAGATGAGGCTTTCTTCTAAATAAATTCCCTCTCAAAGAGTCTTTTGAAGTAGCATAGACATCCCAAGGACTGTAAACAACAGCTGGAAAGCAATTCAATAAAAGCATATGTGTTTAAATCCAATGGGTCAACATTTTCTGAGTCTCATTATTTTAGAAATGCCTTCAAACTACACATCAGGGGAATAAGTCTGATCTTTTGAAAATAAAACTTGTCTATAAACAAGACAGAATGGCATTTTCTGAGCAACAGAAAGCTGTGAATGCTCCCACAGCTCCCAGAGTGAGCACCAACTCCTAGCACTCAAGAGTTGGTATTTTCAAAAGCTTTCTATCAAATTAAAACCAAAACCACCCAACCTAACCAAAACCCACAAACCCAACCACTCCAAAACAGATAAGTAACATAAAAAAAAAATAAATTCTCTGCACTTCCTTCCTCCCATGAGTATCCTCTACTTCCTCTCAAAGGGCACTAAAGATCAGCTGAGTCTCCCCTGAACCCAATTCCAGCAGGCAGACTCTGTCAGAGTTTGGAGTTTGGGTTTTTCTGTGTGTGAAGCAGATGAGCCAAAGCCACAGGGAAACTGGAACAGCCTCATCTGGGCAGTCTCAATCCCTCTTGACAAGGAAGGGAACCAAGCAACCCCTCTCCAACCAACCCAGAGTAACCTCCCCTTTAACATCCTTCAACCTCCTACTTTTCCCTCCACAATCCAGTAATTTTCAAGGAAGATTCAGGTCATATGTGCCTGCTACTGAAGAAAATTCAAGCCCTTTGTTTTGGAAAAGGAAAGAATTAGCCTTTTAGCTAATAAATTGTTTGAAAGCAGATACTACACAGGCACAAGCTCTCAAATGGTTTCCAAGAGATAACCCTTGTGAAAAGCTTTCTTTCTTACAAACACAAAGGGTCCCAGAGAGAAGCATTAATCCAGCAGAATGTGTCCTAGTAAACAGTTATGTAAGTGTACATGCTAGCAAAGCCTAACGCAGCCTCTGCAGTCTCTCAGCTGCCTGGTGTTTGCAGGAGGTTTCAAGTAACAGAGGCAGCATCAGGGTCCAGTTTCAAAACATTTTCTTCTGAAGATTACACACATACGTAACCCCCCTAACGAACTGGCAGAAAAGATCCTGGTGTTATTTTGGAAGTTTGGGGGATTTTTAAAAAATTTAATCCGTCACACTGAATTAATGCACAGTAACAGCTTTGAGCTCCACCTCAAAAGCCAACCCAGTAAAAAAAGCTAAGAAGGGCAGGGATTTCTTTTCCCAGGGGTATTTACACACTGCTGCAAGGCAAGCTGTGGGCGAGGCAGTGCCGGGCGGTGTCCCAGGGTGGAAGCTGCTGGGGGAAGTCTCACCTCTGGTCTACAAAGACGAACTTGCCGTCGATGGCGTGCCGGGACACGTACTCGGTGGGCTTCACCCGGATCTCGCCGTTGGCCGGCTGCGGCACCACGTGGGGATGGAGCCTCCCGATGGCCACGAGGCAGCTCAAGTTGCAGCCCTCGTTGTCGGGCTCGTTGTCTTCATCCAGGCCCATCTTTGTTGGAGGCCAGCTCTTTAAGTAGCCTGTGCTATGAATAGTGCAAAAGCTTTTGCGGTCTGCTGTGAAAAGAAAAACAAAAAACCAAAAAAAAACCAACAAAACCCAAGAAAGCAGTTAGGTCGCAGGTACAGCTTTGGAGAACTTCAAATCAGTTCTGCTAATAATGCACCTCCTCTCTTATGCAGGACATTTGGGATACTCTTCACTAAGGAGGGGCTGGGGGTGCTCAGCCTGGAGAAAAGGAGGCTCAGGGAGACCTCACCACTCTCCAGAATGCCTGACAGGAGGCTGGAGCGAGGTGGGGATCGGCCTCTCCTCCCAGGCAGCCAGTGACAGGATGAGAGGACACGGCCTCAAGCTGCACCAGGGGAGGTTCAGCTTGGACAGCAGCAGGAATTTATTCACAGAAGGGATTGTTAAGGATTGGAAAGGGCTGCCCAGGGAGGTGGTGGAGTCACCATCCCTGGAGGTGTTCAAGAAGTGGCAGAACACTCAGTGCCACAGTCTGGCTGACAGGGGATGTTTGGTCAAAGGCTGGGACTCAATGATCTCGGAAACCTTTCCCAGCCTTAATGACTCTGTGATTCCAAGGGATTTTTCAGCACTCCTGCTGCAATGCAGCTAATCTGAGATAATCCAATAAACAATTTATATTGGCAAAACCACTGTTTATGCTGAAACATCACATAGCTCAGATCAAGGCTGCTTTTGGTAATTTGAAGGAGAAATTGCATCACATTTTATTATTTCAGCAAAAGAGGTGAATAACCCAAAGGAATGTACGAAGAAATTAGTAGATTAACAAATAAGATTCCTCTTTCATCTTAAGATGAGGTTCCTATAAAAACCCATGCTTGGCAGAACACAATCTATCTGGGGTGTACAGGGGACAGCTGTACACAGGGGTGATGAAGATTTGCAATGGCCAGTAAAAGTCAGTGTCCAAAAGAATTCCTGTTCCCCAGCACTGAGCAGGCTTGAAAACTGCAAGGAAGCTGACTTTCACAGGCAGGTGGAGTAAAAGACTTATGCCAACTACACACACTGGCTTCCTCAGCAGTGAGCACAAAAGCAGGATCCAAGGCCAAAGCTGGGACATGGGGCAGCTGCCACAGCCAAAGAATGCACCAAAATTGCCTCTGTTCTCTTGTTGTTTCACTTTAACTAACACCAAATGTATCATTCACAGTACTCAAAGAAGAAACCTTCACATTTGGGCTAAATATATATTCCAACATGCCTAGAAGAAGAGCCTGCAGTGGAGAAAATATTACCAACACTGCTAATGCTACAAGCAAATATTCCAGGTGTAGAAATGCCACGTTTCCAGTACTCAGAATGTACACAACCCACAGATGAACTTAGAATTACACTCATTTTTTGAGGTGGATATCCATCCACACATCACTGGGCAGAGAACAAGGAACAGCTCCCCTTTACTGGAGACCTTGCCCAGGTGGTCAAGACTGAACGTGACCTGACCAATGTCTGAAGATGATGCAATAACCCCTCAGAGCTGCTGGCACAAACTGCCTGAAAAAAGTTTCAAGAAAGCAGAGTGGAGAATTTGGCTTTAAATGCTAATACAGGTGTGTAAGAGATACTGGAGGGGGTGAGAGGGAGTTTGAAGAAGTAACAGACCAAGACATAGCTCAGAATCTTAATAACAAACATTGATAAATGTAAAAAATTTCAACTGCTGAGAACGAGCAGCATTAAAAAAAATCCTGACAGCCTTGGCAATAAAGGCATGATGGTTACCTTTCTTCTTTGAGCAGGTTGAAGGGAAATCCTTGTCCTCTACCTTGACAGAGGGCCTGTTGCACTTCATCCTGCAGAAGAAGGAGCGCCGTGCCCCGGAGCAGAGCCGCGAGGGCCCGGGCGTGATGTCCGTCTTGACCGGGAGTCCGGCTGCGCAAACGGCGAGGGAGGCAGGGTCAGGTGAGAGGGAACCACCCCACAAACCCCACAAACCCCACCCCACAGCGCTTCAACCTCGCTGGGCCTTGCATCTCCTGGTTTTGAGGTTTTGATGTGTGTGACTGTGCAGGAGTCAGCCGACCATACTGATACCTTGGGTTTTAGCTTTTTTGGTTTTGCTTTTTTGTGCTGCTTTGGTGCGTGGGTCTGGGTTTCATACAAGGGGATAGTAAGGTGTGGGTCTGGGTTTCATATTAGGGGATGGCAAGGTCTCTTCACAGAGGAGGCAGACACAACAATTCCTTCTCTAGCTGGGGAGCCAAGGACAGCCAATCTGGATCTCAGGCCCAAGAGCATAAACAACGTGGACTGAAGGGAGAAAAACCAAGCAGGATGGGACTTCATGGGCTGGAGCTGTAATTGGACAATTAGTTCCAATATACTAATGGACCAAAGCCTATAAAAATGTGAGATCTCGTGACCAAGCCCTCTTTTGCTTCCATCTTGGAACTACCTGGGCAGAGCTACAGCTCTGGTACTGCCAGGGTGGCCTTTCAAGGATCTTCAATAAATATCTTTTTTATTCCCCTTAACTCTGTCTAGCTTCTGTTCCAGCTGCTTAAGGCATCAATACCAACACTGCAACTTCTGCCTGTGCTTTCTGCTGTTAGAACACTGAGGTGAGCTCAAGAACACGGGCTCTGAGAGCAAAGATCAGCAAGAGATTGGGCAAATCCACACAAGTCCTGTGATAAATACTGCAATTTCTCTGAACTGGTTTAAAACAGAGAGATTACTTTTCCACAACCAGAGCAGAACTCCATACACAGTCACTCAGGAGGCTCCTGACCCTTCTGGCACTTTCCTATCACAACACCCTCCCAGAAACACGTGTGCATATGGAGCAGAAGAACCCCAATGACACTCCAGGGAGAGACAGAGGAGAAAAGATAGCAGAGACCCACTCAGGAACTGTAAATCCCCAAGACCTCCAGTTATGTCTCAGAAGTCTCTCCTGCCTTGCAGAAATAATTGCACATGGACATGCCCTAACAATAAACCCTGACCTTTATCATATTCTCACAGGGGATTCTTTTCTGTGGGAAAACCAACCAAAACACATCACTCTGAGCCACCAGCAGAGTGCTGGTACCACCAGGGCTCTGGGAAGACATGGAATGCTTCCATGGCATGCATCAGGAGCACAGGTATCAGCAAGGCCAGTGCTCCAAGGGCTGGTGGAAGATTTAAATCACACAGCAACTTTTCCACAGCCTGCCATCCACTCCAACCACGTCTGCATGGGGATATGTAAAATCAAGCAGCTGTCAGCGTGAACAAAATCTTCTCAGGCCTTGTGAGCTTTTAACGTAAGGAGGAATCCCAGCAATTCCAGTATTGTAGTGGAAAGTGTCCGTCTCTTACAATTCCACTGGAGTGAGGTGATCCCCAGGAGGTCAGGCTGCCCTGCACCACATGCCCTCCAAACTGCTGCACCACGGTGTGAGTACAAGCTGTGCTGAGTTACTCATGCCAAGACAAAAATAAATACGTGCATACATCCTCATACTCTTCACCAGTATGAGTTCTTGAAATTCTACCAATCTGTCTATCATAGCAGATGGGAAGACTGTAATTCATAGTATTTATTTTTGCCCTAACTTTGTCAGAGCCACACAAAAAAAAAAAGCCAACCAAAAAAAACAAAAAAACCAGGAGGCAGCACTGGATATTCATGCTTGACAACCGATGAAACCAGGAGCCAGAAAAAACTTCAGCTGATTCTGCTGAAGCCTCCAGGCTCCCTGCCCTCAAATGATCTCTCTCAACTTCAGTTTCTGAAGTTGAGCTGGTGGCTTCTCTGAGCTGAGATCCAGGAGATTTCTGCTCCTGACAAGCATGAGACTTAATGACCTGGAAATCTGCAATTGTAAGATACCACCTTCCACTTAAGCAGTGCAGACTCCTGTTATGAGAGGGAATTAAACACCCACTCACCCCAAGAGCAGCAGAGATTCAGAACTACTTTAAAATACCAGAATGGAACAGAGCTAGGAGACATAGCAGGAAATTATTCCAAAGTTAAAATCCTTCTGAGAGAAAGGCTGGGTCATTGACGGCAGTAAGCAATAAATAAGTAGATAAATAAAATGAATCCTCTATCTTAGCTGACAGCTAAGGACTACCAAGATAACACTGAGTGTATTCTGACCATTTAGAATGATGGATTAGAAGAAATGCTTCATATGTTCTAATGGAAAAAGTTAAAGCTTTGATGTCTGGAAGAGAGCGTGTCACAGTGAATGCCAAACCCAACAGCTTCCAGAAACCTGTTTCACACTTTTTTTTCTTTTTTTTTTGTTTCTTGCTGTCTTTAAGGTACAACTTCCTTGGCATGAGACAATCCAGGCAGCATCCCCCCACATCCCCACTTGTGACATGAGGCAAAGCCCCAGCAGCAGTGACTCTAGGTGACATTTTTCCCAAAGTTGGGAACACTCACTTTTTGCATCTATAAGTCTTTCTCGTGGCGCAGTGTCAGAAGAAGAGAGCTGCTCCTTCACTTTGGCAATGTCTTTAGGATGGAGATAATCAAATAAACTTTGACCAATCAAATCATTCTGTAGAGATTGAACATTCAGTCAAAAAGTAAAATAATGATTCAGTATGTTTTCTTCATTTTAGCATCCAGTATGAACAATCCTTTTACACATAGGTGTAACCAAGGAATACCAGACATCCAGATCCAGCCTCATTGCAGGGGGTTTGGACTGGATGACCTTTAAAGGTTCCCTTCCAAACAAACTATTTTATGATTCCATGATTTGATGGAAGGTTTTCTATGTGTATTGAATTTATGACTACATTACACAGTAATTCCTGTCATCGTTTTCAGTAAGAGTTTTGCAGAGCTGGCACACTCAATTCCCTCCCACCAAATATTCTGGTTACTACTCAGTCTTACTTCTTCTACCACACATCTGAATGAAAAAAAAAATCCTAATTGCAAATGTTCTCTTTCATTATTTACATATGAATTTAGTATATACCTAACTAAATGCTGGCTGAGGAAAACTTTTGAAGCTAATACAGGTTTAAATTTGATGAGGAGTGCAGATGACAGAAAGAATGAAGATTATTTACACAATATATAGTCCAACTTAAGCCTTATGTTGAGCATATATTAAAAACCTGGCTTTGATATAACTGCTTTCCAGTTTCCACCAGTAAGCATGCAAGCAAAACCAGAACAGGCAGAGAGAAAACTAAGCTGAAAAATCCATGTGATGCTACTGGAAAAACCCCAGACTGATGTTTCAATATTTGCTTACACTCTCAAATAGGTAATGCTTTTGCAAGCCTGAGGGTAAATCGTTGAGCATAATGCTTCAATCAGTGAATTAAATTTAGTTCCTTTTCACCTCTTGCTTTGAATGGAAACCAGAAACAATCTTCTCTAATGACATGGCAGAGAAAAGCTCTCTCTCTTTGCAACACCTCTCAGCTTTCAAGTCAGACTCTTCTCATACCTATCCCCCAGATAAAGGCATAACTATCAAAAAGCTCTCAAATCTTTTAAGGTACTTAAAATGGAAAAGAATACCTGACTGTAGTTGAGGATCTTGAAGACAGATTCTGAAACAAACAGTATCTTTCCTCTGTCACAGCCCACAACAAAAAGGAATCCATCTGCTGCCTAATCGGGGGGGTGGGGGGAAAGTCAAATCCCAAGTTATACATCCACATTGCATCATTATAACCTTTAAAAGCACTTTGTGTACAGTAGAATTTCTACACTAGGAGAGCTGTCTTAACATTTAGAGGTAACTGAGTCAACAGGAAAAAAAGTAAAATTACAATGAAGGGGCTTTTTTGCATCTGCAAACATTTTTGGCAGAATTCTGGGCATTGTGCCCAGAATGTAAAATAACTTTTATGAGAAGAAAGAACCCATGTCTTGTCCAATAATATTATGATTATGTTTAATAATGCCTTCAAATTAAAATGTTATTTTAACTGTACTTAAAAAAGCTCCTCTTTTAGAAACCAACCATAACGTGGATATTTATTTCTGTGCCTGGAGGCAACTAATTCCTATTTGCAAAGTATTGTCTTTTAGTCACACACAAGCAATTATGTATCTTCAGAGTCACAATGCTGCAGAAATGAAATTCTGCATATGCTGCATGTGGACACTGCAGTGCTTCAACAATTACACAGCCACTAGAAGAGCTTAACTACTGACTAATGAGAGAAGCTCTCCACACTATAAAAGGAGTGTAACAGCAGGCAGCCATACACACCAAGACATGTTACATCAGTGACCTCAATTAAAAAGTGTTCATTGTATCATTGTACACTGAAAATCATGGCAAGGTTAGCCAGGGCAGCAAGTCTGTAAGAAAACTATTCATGTGATTTTGGTTTGTACATGTAATAACTGAAGATTCCAATAGTTCCCATCTAAATCCCCCTCTTCAATCTTTCTGCTTAAATTAAGAATGCTAGTCATCATTAAACTCACTGACTCTGTGAAGCAGGCTCCAGATTTCTTAATTATCCTCCATAATCAAAACATTTTTAAGCTGAGATACAAGGTAGAAAAATACTGGTGGTGGGCTTTGGGAGAGCTACAGTCACAGATATTAATATCTCTTAATTAAAAGTTGGAACATACCCTGAGAATAAGATGTTTTAATTCATCATCTGATAGAAAAGCAGGCTTGTAGTTTGCTTCTGTATATGGGTTTGTAGCACCTAAAGAAAACAACAAAACAAACAATTCCCACACCATCAACATTACACACTTAAATGAGCAATCTTCTTTTGGCTCCTTCTTAGACTGCTGTTCATTGCAGGAGCTCTTTAAAGTGAACTTTTTTGGTTTTGTTTTACTATCAACATGAGCCCTGTTGATATTAACTTGATATTAAAAAGGATTAAGCTTTTTTTTGCTTCAGACACAAGTACTGCATGGGGCAGAAATGCAAATTAAATGCCTCTGAGATATAAAAGTATTCCTTGACATATGTTTGAACCCAAAGCTTGTCCTTGATTTATGGCCTAGTCTCAGAATTAGAAATTATAAAAGTAAGATATTAAAGAATAAAAGCATTCAAACTATTTCTTCTCCTTATAACTCAGTAAAACATAACAAGCTCATGTAAACAAATCATCACTTAGGAATTTACAAATCAATTCTCTCATTCCAAGCCAAAGATAAAACCCAGCATTACAATGACATCATCTTACAATGCCAAAACCCCAAAATTGGCAACAAATGAGGCAGCTATTTATTAAAGACTAATTCTTCTCATTCTATTCCCTTCATAAATGCAGAGGAGAGTCAAATTAGTAACCACTGAAGTGTTATAAAGTATTAAACTCATCAAGTGACAGTGGCAGGAAGGTTAAGCCTTCCAAAACTGCAAGACTAAATATGACTGAGGGCAGCAGCTCTCCTAGAAATGGCAACAATCACCAGGATCTTTTTTACCACTATCTGCATCCCTTTTTTTTTCTCAGTAGTGCATTCCTTGAAGGCCTAAAGCTTTTAACACCAGCACCAACTGATTGTACCCAAACACTGATTCACTCATATGAAGCTTTAGGAACACACAGTGATTTCTCACAACCACAACTCTTCCAAACCTGTGTGTTTGCCTTTAAGTGCTTGCAACAGAAACTGGTCAAAAAGACCAAAATTAAGTTTTCAAGGTACTCTCTATTCTTTTTCACACAGAGCTAAAGGTACAAACACAAAACCTTAGAAGTCCTGTGGGAATAGCATACCTAAAATGTAATCTCTCTATCCAACCACTTGGTACATTCCTGCTTAGAGCAGTGCTCAATACTGCACCAGAATTAAGTGTGCACTGCCCTTAAGCCCTTTGCTCCTTCTCCCCACCTGCCCCAGGTGCCTTGGTGCTGTGGAGTCTGGCAGTAGTGATCAATGGGCCACATGATGGAAAATTATTCTTTTCTCACCCCCAAGTTCCCCAGTCACATCAGGGTATTTACTGGACCATGAACTAGTAAGCTGTGAATGAACACTGAGCATCAGATGCTAAGAGAAGGGAGGAATCCTTCCAAAATTAATTAACTTACTCCTTTTTGGCAAAAAAGGGAGAGGAAAAGCGTGGCTTTGGGGAAATGCCACTTGGAATGGCCCCAGGCAACTCACCACGAAGTGTTTTCATGTGCTGGACAGCCATCCTGAGCACGGTGAGCTTGTCCAGCTTGCGGGACATGGCGTTGCACGTGGGCACCAGCGAGGCCAGCTCGTCTATGAAGCTGTTCATCTTGTCCCTGCGCCTCTTCTCGATCTGGCTGTGAGCCTCCCTGCACACACACACACAGCAGGGCACGTGAGCACACGGAGCAATGCCCACAGCAACCTCCTCAGGGTGAGAGAGCTACCCTGCTATCCTCACGGAAAGGACAGCAGGCACTCTTGGGGCATTTGATGTCTCATCAAGCACAGGAGCAATGCCCAGAGCAACCTCCTCAGTATTGGATTTGTGGGGTGCCCAACGAAGGCAGGAATGATGAATCTGCCTCCATGCTCTCAGAAGGCTAATTTATTATTTTATGGTACTATATTATATTAAAGAATACTAAACTATACTATACTAAAGAATACAGAAAGGATACTTACAGAAGGCTAAAAAGATAATAATGAAACTCGTGACTCTCAGAGTCCAACACAGCTTGGCCCAAACTGGCCATTGAGTCAAAACAACCCACACCAAAAACCAATGAAACAATCACCTGTGGGTAAACAATCTCCAACCACATTCCAAAGGAGCAAAACACAGGAGAAGCAAATGAGATAAGAATTGTTTCCCTTTTTCTCTGAGGCTTTTCAGCTTCCCAGGAGAAAAATCCTGAGCAAAGGGATTTTTCATCAAATGTGAATGCTACACCTCAGGGTGAGTGAGCTCCCTGTTATCCTCATGGAAAGGACAGCAGACACTCTTCAGACATTTGATGTGAATTGTTTGGGTAAAGAACGGTTACAAGCAACAGGAAAGGCTGCAGCACAAACTTGCTTGCACAAGCACAAGCCAGAAAACACACCCAGTGTTGGTCAGGTTTATATTTTCCCATATTAAGATTCACTGCTAACACTTTCATAACACACTATTGAGTCTGAAAGAAGAGAGATGAAGAATGCAACATTACCAGAAACATATCTGGCTTAAATTTAAACAGCAATGAGGTGACTAAAACCAAGTTACTCACCAAATTAGTTGTTTCACTCTATGCAAACTTAATGAAAAATGTCAACAGTGCAAAGATATTGAAAAATAAGGGAAGGTCAAAGCTAGAAAAAGATATTTTCAGAAGAAATATGCACAAATAATTCATACATGGCAAAAAGCAAGAGACAGTGCTTTGAAAAATATCTGTTTAGAGCATTACCTTGCATTTTTTATCCTGCCTTGTTGGTCTGCATACTCCAATCTGTTGAGAAATGACATCACAGAGTTACAGTGTTGAAAGCACTCAACCCAACTCTTTTCCTGCATCTCACATCCTACTGATTCTCATTAAGATCAGTTTTTTTAGAATTTGAATGTTTACTTAACCTTTCTACAGCCAAGTTCAGTGTCTATAACATTGCACCTCAGACTAGGGGGTGTTTTAGCCTGTCTGCTCCATGTTGTTTAAACTAAGATTGTTTAGATTATTGCTTCATCCTAGCAAAGCAATAATTTGGGACCACAGTGACACTGAGAACAGGCATCCCACAGTCAGGATCCTGTGTCAGAACTGTGGAACTGAGATTTCAGTGACAGTATCAACAGTACCTTCCATGTTGGTCATCTTTATCTGTATCCATACCTTCCCTGCAGAAACAGAACAAAGCAACACATCACAAATTCAGCAGGACTAGCAGAACTGTTATCCAACCACCATAAAGTCACAATCAAGTATTCCTGCCACCTCTAAATCACAAATGCAAAAATAGGAGTATAAAAACAACAACCTGGAAAGACTAAGGAAGCTGTGTGGTTTTTGTAACATTAAAACATTTTCTTAAATTAGTTGTGTCTCCTTCAGAACTCACTAAATGGCACAGTTTGATGTGTTTGACAGTAAAACATGCTGCAGTTCAAAGATATCATCTGTTACAAAAATGTTTTTCAGTTAACTAAAGGAGGGGGAAAAAACCCAACCTTGTGCAGATGCCTTTATGTTCTATAGCTCATTTTGCCTTATAGTCGTTGTTTTTGGGGCAGAAAATGGTAATAATCTAAATTAACACACCACTGGAGGTGGCCAAATGCAAGGAGAGAATAAAAGTCTGTGTGAAACTAACCAGGCACACTGGAAATTAGTGCAACTTTCAGTGTAGATACATGGTTTGCTTTTGTTTCAACATGAAGAAAAGAAGCAAGGAGAGAGGAATGAAGAATAGAAATAATCCCCCTCATTACATTTAATACTGTAGCCACATGTGCACAACTAAGCAGGAGAGGAGAGTGTAAGTTTTCATAGCTGCACTTGGTAAAAAAAGCTAAATGCTCATGATGACACATCTTTTTTTAGACAAAATAACTAGGAGAGGATGTTTTGGCTTACATAAATCTGTACAACTGTGCTCATATGGACATTCCTAGGCCTACTCATTCTGTTTTAATTTCTACCTATGAATTTTAAGTCTATGGCAGAAAAAGGTAGGGGAGAAAACACTGGGCATCTTTTTAAGGTTTACCAATTACCAAAATATTTATACTTACTCAAAAGGAAAGCCATCGAGTCTGAAAAGAAAGAAAAATAAAATACACCATATATAGGAAATAAGAACAATGTCTTACATTTTCTGCTGAAGTTCTCAAGCTAATTCAGATTCTATTTGAAATGAAAAGCACAATGAAAACAGGACAATAGCAGTGAGCGTTTTTCTAAAGAAACAAGCTTGTTCAAATTAATCTACTTTCTGAAAGAATAATTCTGCTTTTTAAGAAAAGAGAGCATAGTTCATTACACTTAATGTGAAAAACTAATAAAACAACTAACCTAAATTATGTTATGCAAATCATTGAGATATTGTTTCATCTTCAGAAAGGAAAGATCTGTGCTTTATGCGTGTTGTCCTTGTGGTTAGATAAATGGGATTTCAGAGGACTCTAAGGCCAGAAATAAAACATAAAAATAAAAATAAAGTATCCCAAGTTTCTCAGTTTTTGATTCTTGCCCAGCAGGATAGATGCACATTTTGCTTTAGTCTTAAGTCCCAAGCTGAACTGTATAAACACTTTATGATATCACAAGGAAATTAAACAGAATTTCTACATGCAAATAACTGCTGGCATCACTCCAAGACTGTAAAGTGACCTGAAATACCACTGAGCTTTACCATGATAAGAGGCTATGTTTTATAAAAGCCTTATGAAAAAGCCTTCTCATCTCAGCCAATAACATACTAGTTATTCCTGTTCAACACTGGACACGAGCCCTCTTAAAAATAAACCCAAGAGCCTTTCATGTATTCACTGCACTCTTAGATGAATTATCTTTGTGATTAGTTTTAAAATAACATTAATAATGATGCTAAATATCCCAGTCTGCACACCTGAGTTATTGTCTTAGCCACTAACTCCTGCTGCTCACAATTTAGCAGCCCTTGTGACATCACCTTTAGCTCTGGGATGTTTGTGTTTAAACCCCCAGAAAGCCAAATTTAGAAGAGATACAAGGTAAGTTATTAATGCAACCGGGTAGTTTATTTTCTCATCATGTGATATTTCAATTGCAAGCATGAATCCCAAGCAAAATTTACTGTTCACAGTCCTGTGCATGAAGCCTTGGACAACAGCATTTGACCAGCCCTTGCTGAAGTGACAGCAGTAAGCTGGGCAGGGATTTTCCTGGAGGAATTGCAGCAGAAAGAACTAAAAAGCTGCTGTAGAGAGCTGAAATTGCAGCTGATGACTCCTCTTGCTTGTATTCAAGAGATGATCAAAGAACCACCCTAAAACACTGGTTCTGCTTCCCTTATTCCCTGGCTTCACTGGTACAGGAAGCACCAAACTGGGCACTTGGATAATTTATGTAATTAAATCATTAACAGGTAGCAGAAGTTGAACGATAGCATTTCTGAACATTTTCCCATACATACACATATAAGGAGGGGTCAAGGTAGTCTCCCTTAAGTTCTGCTTTCCAAGAGGAACATTTAGTAGCCACCATTTACTTTGCAACACAGAATGAACTATGGTATGACTACGTGCTAAGTAGTGGCATGTCGTGTATGACTACAAAATAAACTCTTTTCACTAAGGATTCAGGGAAACAGAGTTTTCACACATTTTTAAAGATGCACACAAAACCTAAAGGGCAGAATTATACCTTACAAGAACAAGCTGTCTTTTGGAAAAGAGGACTTCAGTAATGCGTCCTACCCAGAGGAACAGAAATGGAGAAATCCTTTCTAGACAAAAGGAAGATGGTAGGATTGAGGGTGGTCACTCAATTTTGTGGTAGTCAATTCAGCTAGAGGGACACATATGCTTCTCAGGGAGATTAAAGGCAGTTCAGAGAGCTATTTAAATATTTTGTATCTAAGTTCTCTAAAAAGAATCTAATTCTTAATTGTGATGCTCAGCAGGGATTAAAAATTGTGCTCCTCCTCGTAAAAAGAGCTGCCAACAATCCAAAGGCCCTCAGCAATAAAATCTGAGCTAAGTTACGTAAAAATGGACTCTGTGGCTGGATGAATAATGGATGTGGCCACTCACAAGTTCCCCTGCAGCCACACTTTGCAAAGTTACAATGCAGAGGAGGCTTGCACAGGCACTTGCAGTAAGTAGGTTGCAGGAAACATTACAGGTCTGGGAGTCTCACAAACTCTGCTGTGCCCTTCACTGCTCTACAGCAGAGGTGGTAGGATCTCCTTCTACAGCTGAGAACCACTACAAGATTAAACCAGTTGATTAAAAGAAAGACAGCTCTAATACCTCAAACCAGAGACTGTTCAGATTCATAGTCAAAAGAGAGACCAAAATAGCTTCATCAGGTAAAGGCTGGCAGCACATTGATAGGAAGTGACTAAATAGGCAAAAAATAGGTGAAGAAAAGGAACTACTCCTAGTTTTGCTTCCACTTTCCAATAATTTCATTATCTTCTCCTTCTGTTAGTCAGACATTGTACTTCCTATGTAAATGGTCAATATAATCAACCTCCACACAGTACATTTCATCAGTACTAATTCCATTCCCCCACCAGCCAGAAGTTTTTCTCCTCAGCCTTACCCCATCTGATAATCCTCAATTCTGCACTGAGATGACAGATTTATTTTTATTATTAAATAATGAACTTGGCTCTTAGTGCACAGTAGCTCTCTTCTTTATTAAAACCTTTAAAGCAGATTGTGAAGAAGAGGTTATTTAAAAACTGCTATAAATATGTCTATAGTCTTCCCCACTGTATTGTTGTGTTGCCACCTCCTCTTAGCAGTACTAAATCAAGAGAAATCCAACTTACTGATAATCAGTTGAGCTTCCCTTTCTTTTCCTATTACAGTCCATTCCTGAAGTGCTAAGGGAACTGGAGATCAAGTCAGCAGGGTCTGGTGACATAAAGTCACTAATTGTAGAAGATATGTCCATCCTTTGGTCTGCCATTGGACTGTCTAACATCAGGGAAGAAATAAAAAACAACCCCCCAACCAAAAAAACACTGCATTAATATAAGCAGATACTTACATATTTTTAACCAAAAAAGTTATCTCAAACTTAGCAGTCTTAAAAAACTGCAACAATCAGTTTCTATTTTTCCCTCTTCCTGTAAAAAAAACAGGTAATTTCTCCTTTTCCAGTTACTGCTGTATGCAGCATTGCACACAAACCATGACCATTCTCAAAACACATTATGTAACACAATTGTTTCTAAAGATTTGTCAGAATGATCTTGAACTAAACCAAGCTTACTCTTGTGTTACCTGGCCAGTCAATTGCCTCTTTCTAACAGGAATATTTCTGACACTGAACACTTGCTTTAATGTGTCTCTGCATATGAAGACCATATAAGAGCTCACAAACTTTTGAAGTTCTATTTCCACTGAATTCAGAACATTTCTATAGAAATAAACACATCTGCACAGCAGACTCTACAAATACAAATATTATAACCCAAAGATGGTGGTCAAAGAAGTCTAGTAAAAGGTACAAATTAATCTAATTGGCTTTTTAATCCTCTAGACCACAAGTAATTCAAATCCTCAGTATTTAATCCTCCAGACTGCAAATAACTACACTGTTGGAAGAAACTCTGTGAAAAGTTCCCTGCTAAATAGCACCAACTGTGAAAGAGAAGAGGTTTTACCTGAAGGCCTGTCTTGGAAGCCTAAATCCACTTGGGCAAAGATGATGATGCTCAGCCCAAAGCAGCTGATAATCTCAGAACTCTTCCTTGCCTCATGTTCTGTTGGTCAATTACTTTCAAAAACCTGAATGGGAGGAAAAACCAGCAAGTTTAAAAAAACACCTTATAAACAATTGGTTTAGACACAGTTTACAAAAGCAATAGATGTTTCCAACCCAGGGATCAAATATGCATTTCCTTACAGAGTGTAGAAGCTTTATCCATCCATCCAAAGGGTTAGCTGTTGGGATGTGCATCTCCAATGGACCAAACTTTGGGCAGAAGGAATCTCTGGCACCACCTCCTTTTGGGCCCTTTTTACCATGCTCTGGTCTTTGCACAAAGCCCCTCTGCTCACAACGATCACAGGATGACAATCATGAGCACATTTGCTGCCAGGTGCTCCCAGAATGTGTTAAATTGCTGTCACAGAGCAAAGGACAGACTTACTGCCTTACTCTAAGGGTGGTCCTAGGTTTAGGCTTGGCTTACTGTTTTGTTTTCCACTGTAACAGCAGTTAGCATCTTCGAAGGACAGGGGTTAAACATGGTTTTATTCTGCAGGCTTCAAGTTTTATACAAAATGCACATGCCATACTACAACTCAAGCCCTCAAATATGTCTCCCAACTGCACTACAAACATGTGGATATCCTTTCCTTCGACGCTGCTGTCACAAACCAAGTTTTTCAGCAAAACTTGCTGTGGAAGATTTAGAAATGGACATTTTCCTCCTGCAAGAAAACTTCCAAAGTCCATTGGACACAGAGTTTTCTGGCTGATGAGCCTGTGAGCATCCTGACTGCCCAAGTACACAGAACAAGCAGCTCCCATGGCACTCTCAGAAGTTTACAAGCCAAACATCCTGTCAACGTGATCACACTGTAACCAATTCTGCTGAAGCAGGTATGTAGACATGGTATGAATTATTAGGCAAAAAAAAAAAAATCTAAAGTTGCTTGTTATCACTTTCTTCAGCTCTGCCAGAACAGCAAATTCAGAATTTCACAAGCCTAAATTATCTAAATTTCTGGTCCTGGCACTGTAAGGTCTGGAAAGTCAGTGTCTGGGTACCACCAACTACTGAAGGGAGGATCACTGTTGGTCCAGCAGCAGAGCATCCAAACTGTTGCTGAGGGCTCATTGTCCATCTCACCCAACAACTCCTCTGTGGTCCTTTCCCAAATAACCTAATCCCTTTTCCATTTTTGAGGATGTGTGGACATACTGGTAGAGGCACATTAAAAGGCCAGCTGGCACCAGAACTGACCAAAGCTAAATCAGTACAAATTTAAGTCAAATTATGAAATGCCATTGAATCCATGACCACATTTGTTTTGCAAGGCTTTCATTCACATAGCCATCTGTAGGTCAGGCCCTACTGTCTCCCTATTTTCCCAGCTGTCTGCTTTGTCTCTCTTAGCCCCAGCAGCTTCAGACTCAATGGTGTTACTGTGGTGGATTGGGTTGCTGCATCAAAATTTACCAGTAAAACCAGTCACTGGCCATTTCTCTGTGCTAGCTCCAGACCCAAGCTCCTTATCTTCAGTGTCAGTTGATGTGCAGAAATTAGTTATAGCCAAACTTAGTGTGTTTCTGAACACCCCTCTGTGCGAGGGTGCTGGCTGAACTCACATTTTACTACATTAGGTAACTTCGTGGACCACCTATGATGACCTCTGACAGAAGGCTGGGATGAGCTGGAAGGAACAAAGAGAAAAGGGGATGGGGGAAAAAGGGTTTGTAAGTTTACCCCAGTCCTCTCTCTTTAAGAATGCCTGCAACAGTCAGCATTTTAGCTTCAGAACCAGAACACTGCACAAGTCACCATGCACCAATGCAAAAACCAAATTGTTGTTCATCTCAAACAAAAAGATCATATCAGCTTTATAGAAAAAAAATTTAAATCAAGTATCCATTTAGCTGTGCTATTTTATACCTGTCTATATTTGATAGTTTCAAAGCAGCTATTTTAAGTGTCTTGACCATCTGAGCAGAAAAAAATACATAGAGAGCAGAATTCTCAATTTAATTTTCAGTCAGCCCTTTCTCTACCATGTCCCAAATGCCCAGCCAGTCCTAACAATCACAGTCCTACATTTTAGCATTACAGGAGTTAAGAACCATGCATGTCTCTTGAAATGAGTTTTAAAGTTAAGAAGATGTCAACTCAATGATCAGAGCAAAAATCAGCATGCCCCACTAAATAGTGAACAGTTCAGAGAAATTATTTTTCACAAGGCTTTCTTAAAATTCTAGGAAATTGAATATTTTCTGTCTTTTCAGCCTCCATCTGCTGAATGCTCAATGCCTAAGAAAAATTCATTCTGAGGAGGACCACAAACGTTACCCATATATTTAAACAAAGTTCAAACCTTGATTTATGATGCCAAACTTGCTGCCCAAGTACTCTAAGGACCTACTTGAAAAAAATTCCATGGACTCTACTTCCTGATTGAATTCTCCTGCAGAGGAGAATCAAATGGCATTTTGTCACTGTATCCATGACAGTTTGTCTCTACAGTAGTTTGGAACTACTTCCTTGGGATTCCCCTTCCTTGCATTCCCTCTTGCTCTGATCCCCTGAAACAAGGCTAATGAGACAGCAAAAATAAATCTTACTGTTCGTCCCTTCAGAAAAAAGTGCGATGACACGTGACCAGCTTAATCATGCAGCAAAGCTGATCACGAGTACACAAACACCTCTGAGCAAATCAAGGTCACTGCTAAAGTAGGTCAGCTCCATGAGCCAAGCACCCACCCAGAGTCAGGACCTCTTTCCACAAGCCCCATCAGCTCTGGCTCCCCCCAGGCAAGAGGCAGCCGTGTCCAAGGCACACACGGATTTATTCTGAAAGAAATGCAATTCATAACTTTATGAATCACGAGTGTCTCGTATCTCAAAAGTGCAATTTCGCAATGACAGAGGAAAACTGTGGTGTGGTTTCCTGAAGAAGTCATTGTAAAGATACTCATTGTCCCTGTGGGGAATGACTGAACCAAAAACAGCCCCAGAAAGGAAACCATCTACTTCCCTTCATAGCAGTACTCCCTTGCTGGAGTTAAGTGCCACAGCACAAGCTGGTACAAAACAAAAAGAACTTCTTCATCTTCCCTAGCAGCAGTTTGCTGCTGCTGGAGGCTCCCACCACACTTGCACTTGGTGGTGAGGAGGTTTCAGCTCAGCAGCATGAGGACTCTAAGAGTCCCCAGGATGATCTCAAGATGCAGACCAGAATCCATGGGCTCAGTGCTGCAAGTAACACCTGAGCCTTTATTATGGAATACAGAGGAATCACAGGGAAGACCTCTGAAGTAAAACAGCGTCGTTTCCTTTGCCCTCAGTACTTAAGGAATACCTAAGCCAGAATATGTCCTATCTTCCCAATATACTGATACTGTTTGGTTTTAATGGCTCCCTAACACCATTTGCAAGTACTCTGTACTCACAGAGTGAGTACAAAAAACCCTGTGGCTTCCTCTCACATGCAGATGCATCTCACCACACTCTCTGGTGCAAAAAAGGGATTTGACCATGGCTTGTTTGTTGAGGTCACCCTTTTACCACCAAGTCCTCAGCATGCCCACCTGTTAGAATCCTGGATGCTGAGAATTTTAAACCTTCTGTGCTGACAGGCACAGACCCACAAGAGAATATTGCATTTGACCTGAGGCTGTGGAGAAGGCTTCCAAAATTGATTGATAGCCCTGGGATAATGAGTATGTAGTTGGTTAGAAGTGTGTAATATCACAGGGTGGAAAACTTAAGAGTTTGGTATTTTAGAATATAGAAACAGATATGAAGCAAGATGGAGGTTTTAGGGTGGAGGCAGGTAGTTCTTCTTCACCTTCTTCTTCCTTCTTCTTCATGAGTTTGGGTGGTATTTTGTAATTGGGCAGAAAATTCCACATTGCAGGCTTCCAGGAATCAGTTACTGGGTTAAAAGGGAAAATAATCTAGGTGTCAGTTCTTAATTGGATAGTTTAGTCTTAAAAGACCTTGTAACAAGAGATTGTTGACCATTTTGTGCCTTGCTAATGAAAAGCTGCCGAATTCATGGTTGTGAGACTAGTTTATTGATAAGAAATAATAAACATCTGAGTCCAAACATGAACTACTGTCTCAAGTGCCTTCAATCCAGACCCAGAGAAACCAATACCCATCAGCCCCTGGCAGCCTGTGATTCACATCTGCATTTTGGAACTCCTCCTGACATCAGCAGCTCATGTTTGGACCCAGAGCTGCCCCAGCCTCCTGCAGCCCCTCACAACAGGGCAGGGGGATGCCCTGCTCTGTGGAGGGCAGAGGCACAGGCCTCAGCTGCCCAAGAGACCCCCTCTTCCAACAGCTGCTCCCAATCTTTCCTGAGGAAAAAGTAGCAGGCTGGAGGGAAGCAGCCCATGAATTTTAACCAGCCACAAAGCTACAAGTTAAGCAAATTTGACATGGAGGGGGAAAAGTCTCCAATCAACAGAAGAAAAACTCCACATGCAGTTTCTCAGTAGATCAATCTGTCCAGGTACGCTCCCACACCAAACGCATCTCTTCATCAGCAGTCTCTGAGAAAAGGCAGAACAGGTCACATCATGGCATCACCTCACAGCTTTCCAGTCTCTCAGTGGTGATGGAAACACACAACAATGCATTTTATCTTGTTCACAGAACACAGACTCCCAGATCAAGAGGGGTCTTGGTTCCTATCTCTCCTCGTTTATGAGGGAAAGTACCTCAATCTTTACTTCCAGCTACTTTAACAAAGGGCTTCTCATTGCCTCAAAACCAAGAATAAGTGCTAACTAAAATAACTTCCTCTTGCACAGGGGAGCTCAAAACTAGACCCAGAACACAGAAGTGTCTCAGCAGCACTCAGTAAATGGGAAGGATCACTTCCCCAGCCTGCTGGCAGCCAGCTCCTGATGCAATCCAGGAGGCTCTGGGCCTTCTTTGCTGCAAGGGCACCCTTGGTGGCTCATGAACCATGAATACATTTTCTGCCAAGCTCTTTTCCAGCTGTTCAGTCCCTAATCTGTACTGAGACATGGGGTTTTTCCTCTCCAGGTGCAGGACTTGGCATTTCTCTTTGCTAACCTCCTAAGGTTCTTTATAGGATTTTGGGTGACCCTTCTCTCTGGTCTGTAGAGATCTCCCTGCTTGGTAGCACACTCATGTGGTGTCTCAAACACATTTCCCAGGTTTGCATTTGTCTGCAGCTCTAAGTATAAAGTTTCAGAGAGCATGGAAGGAAAGGAAAACAGGCTGGTTCTGGAAAGAGAATCCAACAGAATTAAACAACCTCCAAAAATCCTAGCTCATGCTCTTTTCTAAGTGAAGCAGATAAATATGTGCTTCA